CAATTTGTATTCAAGTAAAATCTGTAATAAAAATTTTCCCTCTAGTTTTTGCCAATGTAAAATAAAAGTAATGAATTTAAACAATCTTGTGTTTTGAATGTAAAGAAAAAGTTAGGAACGTTTAAATGTTGGACATAAGCAATATGTTTGTACATGAGTGATTCATTTTTTTGTAAGTGCATTTCAAGGGGGTCGATTGAGTCATTTTGGAGATATTTTACCATGCGGCAGTTTTTTTGAAGCAGAAACAATGTAATCGCAATGGGATCTGCATTTCCCGAGTGTCTGTGCGAGTCATTGAAATAATGGTTTTTTTTCAGAATCACTGAGCAGAGCTACTCATGAGTGGGCCCCGTGCCATCATAGAATACCCAGGCCTCTTCACTGCCTCTTGTTGGTACTGATGATTTAATTTCAGGGTCTTGTTTTTGCCTTTTATAACTAATCAGACTGGCTGAGGCTTCTAACTACGAGGCCTAAAAACAAGGTATGGCAAAGCTCTGCTATCCCGCATTCATGGGGAATGGAGGGTGCCGTGTTTATCAAATATGCCGGTTGTCTGAGAGTTGTACTTATGGTTCACCAACTTATTCCAAGTACATACTTTTCAGGAAAGAAACTTAGCCTTCGTATTGACTGATATAAGAACTAATATACTTTTTTTACAGACGTACTCGGCAGTCGGTTGTAGAGTATTCTAAGGTGATTAGCATGGTTGGCTACGTGCGGCGCGAAAGGAGTTCAACATAAATATACGAGCGGACAGTATACAGCAGTACAATACTGCACGTACAGACTGCAGCGAGCGCCACCACTCGGCAGCATCCTGAAGCTTCCGTAAACAACAGATCTATGATAAGCGCATGGCAAGATACCGGATGGCTGTCGGAATTTTCCTGGATATGCCGTCGATGACAGATGCCGGTTAACAGAGCATTCTAGGTGGTAAAGTGGCAGATAACAAGAGCTTTTTTTTATTCCGTGATTTTTTGGTATGAGCCAATTAATTGGGCAACCTTTGCTTTCAAACGTAGTAAATATATTGTGTACCACATTGTATCATGATTTTGCATCTTTGTATATTTATTCGTGTTTATTATTTGCCCGTTTACCCAGGAACGCTTCACCGAGTGTCATGACTCGTTTCCAGTTGGGTCCTTCCAAGGTTCAGCAGCAGCAGCAGGAGGAGGCAATAATTGCCACGTAGATTCCAATTGAGTAATTTGCGGGTGATTTATCAAATTTTGTCCCATGACACCGGCACACAATGGCCTGCTGTTAACGAATTGCAGCATGGGATGCTTAACATCCAGTGAAGCAGATGACGCATGTGTTTTTTTTACGGATAATACACCTGCAGTATTAATTAGTCGTTAGCCTCCACCACCCGACAGCCAATTACTAAGGTTTGTCACGTAAACAAAACGTGCCAATTAGTTACTACTTAAGCCCACCCATGTGTTGAAGAGTAAATCTACAACATTTACAATTTGAGTACTGTGCTGTTTCGCCGGTAATTACATCCAGCTTCATCAGGCAATTTTGCCAGAATTGCAGTGCAGCATTGATGATGATCGCTTGCTCATCATCAATCTTGTGGATTTATTCTCCAACACACCAGTGGGTTGAAGTAGTAACTAATTGGCACGTTTTGTTTCTGTGACAAACTTTATTAATTGGTTGTGTCGGGTGGTGGTGGGTTAACAACACATTTATACTTATGCGATCTAACAAAAAAAAAACATTATGAATAATATTGGTAGCGAAAGCCTACCTGTCAAACAGTATTAATTGGGGTGGCCGCTGGAATCGAACTGCCCAGCAGTGGCAGACAGAGTACCGCTAGGCAATGTCCACCGCCCTTCTGCGGTGCATGCCTGTATTTTAGTGCTCTGTAAGTGGGATGAATGGATCACACACATGCTGTGTAATACTTTCAACTTGTAGGGGAGTGAGGTAGTCAGTACGTTTTATTAAAATAAGTCATGTTAGTTGCTGACCTATCTATATACATCTTAAACATCCCCCAGTATGCATGGATTTCTTTTGGTCTCAGATTTTACACAAATAGAAAACAACATTTAATAAGGGATTAGCTAGGCAGGACATTTCTGGAAAAGTCTCGACTTGGTGAGGCTTATCTAAATAAAGTACTATAACTATTACACGATTAGAAATTAAAATCGGTACACACAATATTTTTTTGCAAAGCCGATGATGTTTTAATAATACGATACTGCTAAAAATATATAGAATATTTCTAGAATCCTGTTTTGAACAATAATGATTTTTAAAAATCCAATAATGACTAAATCTCATTCACGCATACATACGTTACTTCATTAGATTGTATAATACCCATTGATTTGATGCTGAGATGGGCCAAATAATGGTTAGTATATCGACATTGTATTATTAACCAAGTAACTTTTGATACATTTATACTTGCTATTCAAAGAATACAAAGAGGACAAAACAGCTTTACACCTTGTACTCTGATAAAAAGTCAAGCTGCAGTGCAGCACTGATGATGCTCGTGCTCGCGTTGCGATGAAGCTCATCCGGTGCAAACTCACACTTTTTTCGAGGCATTTATCAACGCCAATTAGCTTGCTGACGGGGCAGTTTCATTTCTTGCTTCTTGGGCCAAGTGCATGAGCTTTATTGAGGTTAAGAATAGCGTAGGTATTTTGCCAGTCACAAGATGTTATAACGGTGTCCAAAACCTGCACAACATGTCAAATACACTTGGCCAGCTGTGTAGTCCTGGACCGGCTAATGCGTGTTCCCTATGAGATACTGAACATGAGCATAGAATATCCATTCACGATGGATGGCAACCTTTTATTACATTTTACGGAATGTCCACCATTGGTTTCGGGGCTGTGAATGGGAATTACCACCATTCCGTGGTCAATTGAGACATTTAATACTTTTTAACTTGAGGTTTATTTTTTGCTTCAGGAGCATCACCGGCAGGGTTTATGGGGCATATTAAAGTCACCAGTAATGATGCTCAGACTCCAATAATCAATACAAATTGGACCCTTGACTTGTGCGAGTTTGTCTTGCAGACCTTTTCAGGAACATGGTTCCCATTCAATTGACACCAGTGCAAGCTCCTGAGCCTTTCGTAGACCCCCAAATGTGTGGGAAAGTGGTGGCACGGTGTGGTAGGTGCACTGTGTGAGCAACTCGGTGATCTGAGTTTCGACTCCTGGCCCCAGCTGACATCAGAGGCGTGTGATGTTTGATACGGTGCTTGGCCCCCATCACCTTCACTCGTCCCGCAAAGGCCCACGTGGTAAAGTTTGGTCAAACTACCCCCATACATGAGGTGGCATGAGGAGACCCTTCATCCAGAGGTTGATTGGCAAAAGGCTGAAACTCATCGGTGATCATTACACACAGAGAACTTAATATCCGTCAGAAATTATTCGATTGGCATATACTGTACAGTACATAGCAATCAACTCCCCTGCTGGGCAAACTTGGCAGGAATCTCCTGAAGAGTCGTGACACTCATTGAGGGTTTGCTGGTTAAACGAGCATAAGAACAATAACAATGCATGAATAATTTACCAAAGCTATTAATGTATCAAATGGCATGTTTATTTAAATTGCCTGTCTGCTAGGCATTGTGAATTTTTTTAGATTAATCATGAAAATTGCCATGCTATTATAATATTCTGGAAAGCACAGAACAAGCTGTGTAAACCAACAACTAAATGTTCATGATGTTGGTGTAACAAGATATGTCATGACATCTAATCTTATTGTCTTGGCTGCAATGATTACAGAGATACAGTTGAGAGCCTCTTGACATTTATACATGCAGAATCATTGACAAACAATGTGCTGAAATGCAACAACCTGATGTTCTAATTACGCATTAGACGACTGAGTTCCGCCGCTGTGGCGAGATGGTTAACCATCTCGCCTGGTATATAAGATGTTGTGGGTTCGATCCCTACCCCCTGACGCCTGTGTATTTGGAGTTTGCATGTTCTCCCCGTGGTCGTGTGGATTTTACTCCGGTTTCTCCCTCCGCATTTAGAAATATGTGTTTAGAGTATTAGGCTGCTATAAATGTCCACATGGTAATTCACTTCGTTGAGGCTATCATTTGTGGCCTAATCGCTTCTGAAAAAGAGCTGTATAGGTCAGTGGCCCTTACCTAGTAAAATAAAACATCGTTTAGTTTTTAATAGTTTAGCTTTTGTATGCGTGAATTTTATGATAATTTGTTGATTAAAACAATGGCACAGGAATTTCTTTTATTTCGTGCTAAGGTTTCATGCATTTAATTTGTTTTCCTGAAATTGAAATTTGAAGCGTCATAAAATTCTGAAACTCCAGCATGTGAAGATGATTTGCAAAGCGTTTGTACTGCTTCTAAATAATTATATTCACTGCCTATAAATATTCACTGCCTATTACCCACAAGAACTCATTCTGTTCCTCCATTTCCAGTATTCGTCCGTGAGAGGTGTTATACAAATCTCGCCTATCTTGCATTAATTTCCAGAGTATCATTCTCCCAACTGACTACCTCCCTCACCCCTTCCCTACAGGACTTTCCCCAAAAGCCTGTATGGCAATAAGTGGTTCTTTGTCTTTAAAACACACACAAAAGAGACAGACACATACGATGACCCCACCATAGCACTGTATAGAATGTTTCAGTAAATGCTGTTAGCGAACACCTATTGTGGCCAGCATAGCACATGAGCTGGCGGTGTGGACAGTACTAGACCTTGGCTGCCTTTGGCTCCCCAGTGCAGATGTTTACACACTCGCCGGGTATTTATTTCAGGCCGAGTCGCCATCGGGGTGGCCCAAGAGAACAGAGGAGCTTCTGGGTTACGCATCCCGTCGAGGCACACGGCAGTAAAACCGTGTATGCCGTGCAGGGGTGACTTCGACCAAATCTAGTGTCTGCGTTGTGTATCTGTATTATTGACATGCAGCGTGTGGTGGCGCGTCGTGTTGTTTCTTAGCGGCAGAGTCGCAGAGCACGAGCTCGGAAGAGCACTCGCCAAGCCCAGCGTCGCCACCGCCGCCGCCTCGTGCCTACAAGCCCTGCTTCGTGTGCCAGGACAAGTCATCGGGGTACCACTATGGTGTCAGCTCTTGCGAGGGATGCAAGGTGAGCTTTGGGGTCTAACCTAACTCTGGCAATTCCCACTATTTTTAGTTTTTTAGTATTCCAGGTAAGGCCATACTTGGCTATGTAGCTCTTTTTCGGAAGCGATCTGGCCGCAAATGATAGCTCAACGACGTGGTTTATCATGTGGAAATGTATAGTGGCCAAATACTCTTAAGACGTGTTTAATATATGTGGAGGGGAAAACCGGAGGACACGGAGAAAAATCCACGCAACCACAAGGAGAACATGAAAACTCCACATATATAGGCGTCAGGGCGGGATCGGACCCATGACCTCCTGCATACGAGGCGAGGCAGTTCACATCTCTCCACGGCCTGCTTGCCACAGCCATATCTATGCGGGGTGGAGCAGTTTGTCAGCGAGAGGACTGTGCATTCTGTCACGTGTGCCTGATAGTGTTCCTTTGCTCTATGCCAAAGAGCGAATTAAAATGGAAAGTGCTGAAGTAAATAATTGAGCGCGAGAGTTAGCTTGCGAAAGTTGCGCCACCTAATCTCTTAATCCGAATGAAATATTACGTACGAGGAGCAATTTTGGGATGTCAAGGATTGTTTTTAGATGACACTGGTCCACACAATATAATTGTGCAGTGTTCACTGCTTGCAGCAATGTCGGTGACCATGAGGAGCACCAGCCAATACGCTTGATTTTGGGGACACATTCAAATTTAGTTTCTTTAATAGATGCCAAGTTCACCCATTCACGTTGCATAATAGATGTTACATAACGACAAAGCTGTTTATCATCCACAGTCTGCTGGGGAAAGGTCAATTATTAACGCCGATGGTTGTGGTCAACAGTACGCCTCGTGGCCTTTGTCTTATTTTAGGCTGAGTTGATCTCGGGGTGATCCAGATCAGGTTCATATACCAAGTGCCAGTGATGTTCTTGGCCAGGTATCAGACCTAAGTTGGCAAGATCATTGTCAAGTAGCCATTGCTCCTCAGCGACCGCACACTGCAGCCTGCACAGTGCTTTCCACATTGCATACGATGCACTACGTTTGGGGCTTTTTATCATATTGAGAACTAGCTTTACTACCCGGCTTCGCCCAGGACTTGGATTCACCACGCCCGGCCGCCTTTGTCTCCCCAGTGGCGATGTTCACACAGCACACCAGTTACTCGTTTGAGGCTGAGTCGACCTAGGGGAGGCCCAGGACCGGTTAAAATAATCGTCACCGGTGGTGGCCGTGAGCGGGAATCGAACTCGGGTCGCCGGGTTCGTAGCGCAGCGCGCTAACCGCTACACTACAATGCGTTACGCTTCCACACACACATAGACACACACACAGACACAGACAGACATGCAGACACACACAGAGACACACACAGACAGACACACACACAGACAGACACAGACACACACACAGACACAGCGCGCTAACCACTACACTACAATGCGTTACGCTTCCACACACAGACACACAGACACATACACAGCTCGCTAACCACTACACTACAATGCGTTACGCTTCCACATGCGCGGGTCACGTGACAGATTTGACGTCACAGCTCACTTGTAGTGCAAAATATATATACATTATTGAACTCCCCCCCCCCCCCCCCCAAAAAAAAAGTGTATTTTTATATTTTTTGCATGGTGTACAGTCTGGAAAGTACCCACATGGCAAATTTCAAGTTTTTTGCATGTCGGAAAGTACGCTAAACATTTTGAACAGACACACATAATCACAACTTTCCCTTTTATATATATGGAGATTATTACGGTGGTCTTGATTTAATTTCACGATACGACACTACACACATTTGGAATACGTCTCGTTATATTGGTTTCCCATAACTGTGATTGTATTTCACATTCTGATTGTATTGTTTTAGTGCTTTTATGTACTTTCATTACACAAATTCTTCTTAAATTTTCAATTGCCAGTTCACTCAAGATAATCCCTCTATAGGCGCTGAATACAACTTTACAATCTGCACTGCTTGTGACGCACATGCCGTCGGTTACACATGACTTAATTTAGTAATTGTGGTAGTGGTGAGATTTTTTGCATACGATTTGTTTTTATTACATTTGTGAGCCCATTTTTACCAGCACAGTGTGTCCATCTCATTGACAAGAGGAGTTAGAAGCCAAACAGTTGATAAAGTTCACGCTGGTAAACAAAGTCATTGCCAAAGAACAAAACCTTATCAATCTTACACGTCAGCCTGAAGCAACACTGCAGTCAACACGTCACAGCTAACACTGCATTGTGAACTTGTGTACACTTGTTGCGCTACTTGACAATCTGATGGTTATGATAATAAAGCGCAGGATCACGCACTAGCAGCGGAGTTCAATGTGAGAATATGTAGAGAACTTGTCCTTTGTCCTTCTGGCTGTAAAGTTTTCCTTCACCACATAACTGCTTAGGCATGCAGAGGTTTGGAAGCGTTTAACCTAATTGGGGTGCCTTTGTGGGATGGGAAGGGATTTTTTTTGAATTGCTTTCATGTTCTTTCCCAAAACAGAAGGCAGTGATTAGCCATGGCCTGAAGGTTGGTTGTTGCAAAAAAAAGTAATATAAGGTAGAGGAGACTTAATACACAACATTTTGTTCTGATACAATTGCTCTTTTGGTAATTGAAAACACAGCCTTGCATTTGGCTGACTTGATATTGTCTCCGCCATTCTGCGCGAGATTTCTAACAGTCACGTTTGGTCTGCAACAAAAATATAAAGCCAATATTTTTTTACACGTGTGCCAGTTCCGGAACAGTGGCAACAAGAGTTGTGCATTTGCTCAGATGGTGCTGGCAGTGTTCGTTTATCAGACCTAGTTATTTGATGACAATGGACTATGTTTCGTGGAATTAGGATGAAAATAATGTTGATTCATAATGCACTGTATTAATACTTTAATCCTGCCAAGAATGGATTGTTATTTTTTACTCGGCCAGATTGAATTTCATAGCATTCCAAGTACACTCATTTTAGTTCATGAATACAAACATCACTAATCTGAACCATTTTACGATATGAGACTCATTCAAAGTGGCTATTCCTCACGCAATGCAGATTTAGATGGTGTTGATCCTTCATTAAATATAATTACCTGTTAGAATCATAGCCCATTGAAACATATACCAAGTTCTATAGATAGAAATATTTCTTTTACAAATGGATAATTGTGATTTAGTTGGGCCTGAACATGAATTTGCATAATATTGGGCAGTGCTAATTATTTTAACACCATGAACCTCGGGTACAATTTCGCAAATGAATATACAATACCGTATGCCATATATCCACTGCAATTTACACCAACCAAACTCCACGTGCACTATGCTGGTTTGCGTCTCACAATTTCGAATGGGCAAAGTGCTGTGAGTTACATTGAATAAACATGAGTGGGCAGAGCCTCTTTTCAATAAATGTACGTGGCGTATAAAGAGGGGAGGAGTTTTTTTTGACTTGCTGTACTTTTGTGCCACCTCGGTTAATGTGTCGGAGCAGAAACGTGAAGGTCAGGGAGCTATGCGATTGTTGTCCTGTAACTTGGCTGCCATGATGACCGGCCAATCGGAGAGCCCTTTTAAGCCAGGACAGGAATATCTTTAAAAATGGGCTTAACAAAGTTTTGCGTTGAAGTCCACCGTGCGACTTTATTTCTAAAGTGTTGGAGCCCGTGACAACCCTTGCAATGGGGGAACAATATTGCCTCTCTTTTAGCGCACTTAGACTTGTTGTTTGGACCATATAAACGCATTTGTTTCTGAATCGCATTTCATAATATAGTGTGTCTTACATAAAATATTACGTTAACAGATAAACGTGTACTGTTGTTGGTTAATGTGTTTGTATTGATTGAGTATTTTGCTGTTATGTGCTGTATTTACACACTCACATGGCATTTATTTGACTATTTTACTCCAAAAATGTACTTTTAGTCTCAGTGGTCTCCAAGTGGTTTTAAATAAATAATATCTGTCCAAAATGTTTAATATACAGTCATGTAAGTAAAACATCTACGTAACGTGAATGGTTGAAATAAATGCGATTAGATATATATACTTAAAAAAAGAACATCATGTGAACAGCCATTCCTTTAAGTCGTGCAATCCAAGTATCACATCTTTAAGGGGTTATCAGATCCTTTATATGCCCTGAATACTATGTACACAGAAAAGGTCTTAATCTCCAGCCCTGGAGTGTTGGGATGGAAAGACAGGCCCAGCTGGGAGGGTTAACACAGCACGCTCAAGCAGCCTCCTCTTGTTTGTTTACCCCTAAGCCCTTCTCGGGTTTCCCACATGCCACTGTGTGAAACCCCATATGCCCCTGCCAGGATTAAACCCCATTGTTTCCTCATACAAGTCCTCCTGTTGCAGAGCAGAGTATCTTTGCAGGGATTTTGCCCTTTGTTTGGCGATAAACCACGCAGGCTGAAGAGCCCTCGACCGAATGCAGAGTAGTAGACCCCCATGTCCTCGCATCTCCCTCCTCCACCTTATGACTCCCAGCAAAAAAAAATAGTATTTTAAACAGATTCCAAGTCTTCTCCTCCGCTATCTTGCCTTTCGTTGGAGCTTGTGGGGGCGCCGCGGTGGGCCGAGATGTTAATTCCCTCGCCCGGTATGCAGAAGGTCGTGGGTTCGATCCCAACCCTGACGCATGTATATTTGGTCGTGTGGATATTCTCCGCGTCCTTCGTTTTTTTTTCCCCCTCCACATTTACAAACATGCGTTTAGAGAATTTTTATTTGGCCACTATACATTTCTACATGATGAGCCACTTCGTTGAGCTTTCATTTGTGATAGCCAGGTCGCTTCTGTTGAGCTATATAGCTCATTGGGCCTTACCTGGTAAAATAAAAAATACTGTAGTTGAGTTTGTGGTGGTGGCACATTGAGCAATACACAGCAGCAGGCTACTTAAGCCTCACATGCCTGATAATATTTATTATTACCCAGGGCACCACTGTCATGCTGTGAATTGCAATTGGCCTGAAAGTAGAGGTTTTTGTGTCCTTCTGGTAGTTAAACACAGGGTGGTGGTCCATTTTTTTTGGATACCCCTAAAAAAATAGGGAGAAATTTCAGAGAAAACAAGATTTATATTTTTTAAAGCCTCTGCATTTCTCCCACTATTCTTAATACGACTTAATTACATATTTTAGAACACGCTCCTACGCTTCCACGATATTCAACCACGTACCTGTTGAGCAGGAAGTGAGAGGGGGTCATTAGAAATGTGGGGTACCTGTAAATAGATCGCTGTGTACGTTGCTACATTCGGGGTCCCACAAATCGAGACTAGGGCCATTTTAGCCACATTTTAGATGACTCCTCGTAATGGTGCCTGCCTCCTGCGAAGGGGAGGGGGTGGAGGAGGGAGAAGGTATTGCATTTAGGTGATTTAGGGGATATGTGCATGTGTGTATTTAAGGGTAATTGCATGAGTGTATTTGTCTTTGTGGAAGTGTATACAGTATATATTAGAGAGTGTATGCCTATATAATTACTGTATATGCATGGGTGTATATATGCAGGTGCAGACACATACATAACAGTGCTGAGTAAATATCCAATTAAAACTAAACTAAACAATTTTATTTTACCAGGTGAGGCCCACTGTATATATCTATTTTTCAGAAGTGACCTGGCTGCAGATGATAGTTTAAATAGTGGCTTGTCATGTGGAAATGTATTGCAGGCAAATAATCTAAACGCAAGTTTCTAAATGTGGAGGGAAAAATCGGAGGACCCAGAGATAATCCACGTGACCACAAGGAGAACATGCAAACTTCAAATATACAGGCGTCAAGGTAATATCGAACCCAGGACCTCCTGCATATCAGGCGAGGTAGTTAACATCTCGCCACCGCAGCACCCCAAATTGAGATTTCAACTTGAGACTATCCAGATGTGTTAATGAAATATAGGGTTAAGGACCATTGTCTTCTCAGGGATAATTCTATATACTCACATGTTATGTATGTATCTTGAACTTCTTTCACACCATACGTAGCCTACTGTGCAAAGTTGCAGCGGCTAATCATAAAACATTCCATTAAACTCCCCCCACCATTTGACGCAATGAAGATTGTACATTTTTCAACTCGAGAGAAAGAGGCGTTGATGAAGACTTGCCCCACGCCTCAATTGATAGACATTTCAATAAGAAAGTCACAGCTGTAGCTTTGAATGGCGACTTCTGCTGCTGCTGTGTGGTCAGTAGGGCCCTGTGGAGTCGAGGCAGGGAGGTGGGGAGTGATTGTTGGAGGGACAGGGTGGGGCTCAAGTAGATGTGGGGAAGAGGAGTGGGGGTGGGATGGCTCTGGTGCCAGGAAAGGCCACTGGCAGGGATTATTATCAGAAACTGTTTTCACATCAGCTGGTGCTCGGCAAAGGCAATTATCTGCTTGGAAATTAAGCCAAACTCCACAGCTCCACACATAGATTAAGGAGCTATTTAATAAAGAGATTAAACGAAGATAAGCCGCAGGGAGAAGGTCTAATTGAATCGTGCAGGGCTTAAGCCATGGAGGTCGAGTCTCCATGTCCTCTGTGATAGCTTACAATTAGGTTTAATTGTTCTCTCGCATTTATATCACTTTTCTAAGCATGGTCATCCCCGAATAAATGTATCAGAGTGCATTAATGGCCCTGTTCATTGAATAAGTCTATCAAATAGTTTACGACTGGATTCCATGAATGTTTTTGGAATCTTATATATTTTTAAAGGGCTTTGCCAAATGTAGCCAAAAAAATGCTTATCTGTTGGATGAATCTCAAAATCTTGAACTGTCACAAATACAAAAATATATTTGCCTTGGCATTTGGTTTACTTCTCTGGTACACTTTGGCACATACAAAACCTCACAGGGGAAATTAAAACGCAAAATATTGTTCCGTTATAGAAATAAATTATGTTTCTCCTTGACATTTCAATGTCAACTTGGTGGAATGGAGTAGCGGTGCACTGATTTGCTTTACTGCACTATGAACTCGGCTGCCTGAGTGTGATTCCCGGCCATGGCTTATGCTAATGGCGAGTGGTCATCTAAACTAGTCCTAATCCCTCTCCTTTGCCAGCTCATGCTGACCAGCGTGGTAAAGTATGGCCAGTCAGCTGCAACGACTGACACGGCATGGGGATGCCTTGATTCAGCAATGTTATTGACAATAATATGTATAGTTATTTACAAACGTGTTGCGTCCACCTTCCCGCCAATTGTTGTGGCATTGCGATATAGAAACGTGCTCGTAGTACAGCCTTGGGTAGTCTGGTCCACGCTTTCTATTGAGCTTTACATTTTCTTTTAAATGAGAATCATTGTGTTCATTGCTGTGATCTGTATAACAAGACAGGCTGCCTTTCACTTTCAATGAAGGGAGTTATGCCCCTGGTATAACTTTGTCTTGAGAGTTTTGCTTGGATGTGCAAGTGGAAAAGGGGTATTAGATATTCAGAAGCATAAAAAGAAACACTCTTGTCACAATAGTCTTTTTTTTATTGGCCCCAGAAGGGTCATCGGTTTGTGTTGACCTCTGACGGAGATGAGGTATCACTGCCACTGTTCCCATCGAGCTGACTGAATGTAAAAGTTATACAAAATGTATAACTTGGACTTGTGAATGTTTCCCGTTCATCACAAAGCAATGAGTTGCGCAGTTTCCTCTGAGCGATACCTCAGGAAACTGCAAACACGCATTGATTGGCACTGTTTGTTAAACAGAACAAGCTGTTCAGGTGCACCCTAAACTAAAACGAAACTATTTTTTTTATTTTGCCAGGTGGGGCCCACTGAGCGATATAGCTGTTTTTTCAGAAGCAACTTGACTATCACAAATGATAGCCCAACGAAGTGGTTTATCAACGTGGAAATGTATAGCAGCCAAATAAATCTTAACACGTTTCCATTGGAAGAGCTCAATGGCTCTTTAAAATGTCAAATGAGACTTCCTAACCCAGAACAGTTTTTTTTGCGTGTAAAAAAAAACAAGTTGTCTTGGGAAAAGTATCCAAAGGAATCCTTTTTGTTTTTCAAACTTAAAATTAGAATGCAAAAAAGCATTGTTCTCAGAGAGGACCCCCCAGGGGTCATTTTATTTTCTGTATGTGTGCTCCCTTAAGAAGGTGCATTGGGTTTGTTTTGGCAGTGCGATTCAGATTCTGGTCCTGGTGGGCCTATATTGTATGTTAAAAAAGCACCATGCCTATCGTTATTTTTTTAATTTAACAAACGCATTATTTACCAACTAGAGTTGTAGATTTATTTTGCATTTTAAATGACTGCGACACAACACACAAATGCGTGCATCATCAGGAGTTATGTTATATTAGAATACTGGAATAAGACAAGGTTTAGATTTCCACGGATTTGGAATGTGACCAGTTGTGCTTCATTTAAATGTACCTCTCCTGGCAATTTTGTTTACTCCTTGTTAATAAACATGATAGCCAGTGCCTTTGTTTATACTTGTTCTATATGTAGCGAGTTAATGTGTAAATATATTTGAAGATATTGCGACATTTAAATTCAAATCCTTATGGTTAAATATGTTTCATCTGAAAGCACCACTACTCCGTAAAGTATTGTTGATTCACAGTGCTGCTGCACCCCCTCTGTTACGTTTACCCCCTACGAACAAATAGTTTGATTAAAAAAATATAAACTTGAAAAATAGGTCTTGGCCATGTCCGTCGTGTGAACCTTTCCTGTAAATGATCAAAATAGCATCTCGTAATCAAAGCCTCTCTTCCTCACGTGCAATTGCCTGCGATTGCTTGCAACAGGTCCGGACACTTAGACTTTGTCGTTGCTCTGCTGTGGAATCTGGCTTTTAGTGGTGGCTGTGTACTATTGTACTCGGTGAACCCCCCTCCGCTAGAACACGATGAACATGGAGTGTTACCAAGGGTTCACGATGCTACGAATAACTCGCTGTCTGTGAGGAACAAATGGTCTTTGGAGACTCGTGGATGATAACTCATGACGGCCATTCTTTGCACATGGAAAAGTCGGGAGTTCAATGGTTTAGCCACACAGGGAGAGAGCCACTGTCAATGAGATGGTGAAAGAAAGGAGAAAAGTTGATAATTTGTACGAGTCACATTGTATAATAAAAACAAAAATGTAAATAATAATAAGTACCATGTTAACTTTTGTATGAATTTACAGTATAATATGCAATGCCATGGCCACATTGCACAGCATACACTCGTATTGCAATGCACATTATATGCTGCGTGCAAAGAATGCTCGGAATTTTTAGTAGTTTAGGGCAAGAAACTTATGAGTTTAGAAAAAACGATGGTAGCAAAGCGTATAACTAGCAAAAGGAGTTTGTGTTGGGAGGCACACGTGCAGGGCAGAGGAAGAGGGAGGTCACCCAGACGAGCGGAGGAATGTGCACCTAAGAGGTTGGCAACAAGGGTGCGGGGTGGGGGAAGAGATCTGTAAGAGTAGAGCGTCAAGTTTGGGTGTTGATTGATTTCTGCTCAAGTTTATGAAGGAAGTGGTGGTCAGGTGTTGTGGCATGTAAACAGCATCAGCCTTGATTAACCGACTGGTCTCTTTGCAAGGATAAATAATACACTTTGTTACGAGCAAACACGCCCTGCAAAAAAACACATTCCCAAGATGGAAAAATATTTTCGAAAATTAAATATCGATGAATACTAATGAATGTATTATTTACAATTGGTACGTGTGACTTGCAACGGCCGTCTTTGAGCTTTCGGAGAAGGGGTGGGGGGGGGGGCAAAACAACATAACAAAGACCCCCCCCCCCCCCATATAGCCTTGAACAGACTGTTGGGGCAAGTGCCGTTAGTGAGCAGCACCTCCTGATCTCATGCGCAACTGGCTTCTGTCGGCAGGGCTTCTTCCGCCGGAGTATTCAGAAGAACATGGTGTACACCTGCCACCGTGACAAGAAGTGCATCATCAACAAGATAACGCGTAACCGCTGCCAGTACTGCCGCCTGCAACGCTGCCTTGAAGTTGGCATGTCCAAGGAATGTAAGTACTCGATGCCGTTTCATTCGTTGCAATGTCTTCTATCGACCATGTGAGAGTCCATTATTGCCACATTTCCATTGGGGAACAAGACTTTCTCGGTCCGGGCACAGCACCAATCCCTGGGTTTCTTGTCTCTTGCTCCATGAGTAAACTAAAACTATTGAAACTATCTTTATTTGACCAGGGGAGACTCTCTGAGCTCTATGGCTCTTTTTTTCAGAAGCGACCTGGCCACAAATTATCGCTCGAAGAAATTGCTTCTCATGTGGAAATGTACAGTAGCCAAATACTCTTAAGCACACCCTTCTAAATGTGGAGGGAAAAACCGAAGCACCCGGAGAAAAATCCACGTGACCACGGGAAGAGAACATGCAAACTCCAGATATACAGGCGTTAGTCGGGATCAAACCCACAGCCTCCTGTATACCAGGCGAGGTGGTTAACATCTCGCCACCGCGGCACCCCTCATGGTGCCTGTATGCCCCATCGCTTTTCACCTTCTCTCCTGACCTCGCTTTCACAATCTGGAGGTGGCTTGGGGGCGGGAGGGGGCCTTGTCTTTCACAGTGCATTGATTGTGGCCGATGACAAAAATGTTTGCCACTGTGCTTTTAACACCAGCGCAGCGCGGAAATGTAAGTAAGTGACATCACGACACGTGTGTCTCATTTCTGCCTTGACGCTGTGACATTGCAACTGATGCCGGGCTCGGCCTGTGTGGTTTGGTTTGAGACGAGGATCTCGGTGCCTCGGTTCTGAAACTCGAGGGTGTCGGGCTGCTGTGGTAATGACTACTTTTGGGCCCAACAAGTTTCGTACCGAGGATAATGTCCCACTGACCATGGAAAAGAGACATTGCTCCAGATGCCCGAACCGTTTGTCCTCCCTTTAGCATTCAGGAGCACTAATGTTTGAAGAGAGGGGTGCTAATGTTTCAGGCTATGCACCAAGTAAAACAGAGCGAGATGTTAAGTAAGTGATAAATGGGGCATTGAGTATAGGCGCTGTTTAGTTTAAGTCAATGTGGAAAACCTCGTACATAGTTGCTAAAGAGCAATAGCTAAGAGTGAGCTATACCAATGTTAGCCAGAGTCGAAGAATGTTAAAGGGTGTGGTAATCCCGTAATGTTATTCATTTTAGTGTGTAATAATTTTCATGTTATGTACCATGTACCAGTTGATTACATTTAGCAATTTTTTTTTGTAAAGTCATTCCAAGAACAAAGGAGAAGTGTTCATGTTAGCAGCTTTGGGTTAATACGGGAATAATTGCCTAGGGATTATATGACATGAGCTACAGTCTCGGCATGATGTAGTAATATTTAAGCTTAAATACATTCAATGTAATATTATTTTGAGGAAATGAATCATAAAAGCTATCAAGTAATTGCATTACTTGCAATATACAAATATAGGATCGCATTACCTTGCTTACACAATTTTTAGTTACCCTTAATAGATGTATTACTTTTCAAATCCTTAACCCAACAACGAAGAGTTAAAATATTTTATGAAAAAGGCACATCATGTCCAGTTGGTGCACATGGAGGAAAAAAAACCCCAAGGTTTTAAGTTCAAGAGTGCCCAACATTTTCAGGTAAAATCACGAAGGTCATCGGGGCATTTGCATGCTGTTCAAGACGGTGACGGAGAAAAATCATCGCCGCTGAAGAACAAATTTGGGGCACATGAGCAAGGGCTGCTAGGTTGAGCAAAAGATAAATACGAGCAAAAACAAACGTCTGCATCCACCAAGTTCGCCGAACGTTTGAACGTATCCATTGGAGGGACACGGCTGGAAAACATCGGAGCGCGCGTGTATCCCGGGGTGGTCACTGAAGGCGAACCGGAAGAAAAGAATGAAATAAAGAGGTGGGTGAGACCAGACTGTGGAGGGCTTTTGGACAACTTTGTGGTGAAAAGCTACGCACGGTACCCATGTGCCTAAAGAACAATGCTTTACATCAGTTGTATATTACCTCTCGTGAAATATGCACATTGACGAGGAACATTTAAACAAAAGCTGAAACTTGCAGAGAGAAGTGTGGAAAGGTGCAGGCCTGGAATTACACTGGGAGGCAGAGAAACACGTGGATTAGAGAGCATAAACATGTGAGCGACACAGTTGTTGACTTGTGAAAAGGAAGTTGTCCTTCGGCATGACACGTCGTCCTCGGGATGGATGGAAGCCTGTGGTGGAGACTAATGGCGGAGTTGCAGCCAAAGAAGGGTATGCATCTGAAAGTCACATCCACAGTGGAGATGGAGCAATGAGATCGGCTTGTGGACGGGTGCTAGATGGACAGTATCATCATGTGGCCTTGAGAGCTAGTGAACTTGGGGAGGCCTACATCAAGCAGTGGATAGATCGTGGCTCATGATTACAATCACTTGATCACGAGTCATACATTTTAGCACCGCAACATGTTAGAAATAATTTAGTTTCCCCAGGGTTCCTTAATATATACTGTATGACCACTTATTTTTAAATTATAGCATGAGCATTTATACAATTTTTAAGTACATGGTCAGTGAGGTATCTCGAGTTTATATATATTTAAAACTTTCCAAAGAACAATAACAAACAATTTAATTTTGCAGTATGAAATTTACAACTGGTGCACAAAACAAAACAAACACGACACAGTGTCCCTTCCTAAACCCTGACGGAGCCCTGGGAGAGAGAACGCATTTAGCGCGAGCAAAAGGACGCCCCGTCCCGCACGTACAACAGAACTGTCAGCGAGTGGCACGGCGGATAGATTTCCTTTGGGCATTGGGAGAAGGGCAGTGACGCCAGTGAAATACACAGGGCAGTGTCAATGCATAAGCACCGTTGTGTCCAGGGAATGGCGCCACGTCCCCTTCGGTGGTTCGGGGAATGTTGTGACGCGGGCGGGCTGCACGCAATCAGGAAGCCGCTCGCCGAGCCACACGTAGCGTTTGCTTCACTGGGGAAAGATGAGACTGAACAGATAAGTTTCTATTGCCCTCCTTGGGGGGGGGGACTGCCTCTGAGATCACACAATCTAGAAGGGCGGATGGGAGCCGGGATTATTTTCTGGCTTTCTGCCACGCTGCGAATATATATTTGTGCGCGTGTGCGATGAGAGCAGTGGCGCCGTGGTTAGTGCACTTCGCCGTGAACCCAGTGACCCAGGTTAGGTTCTCGGCCATGGATTACATCGGTGGCGAATAATATCCAAAACCTGCTTTGGGACTCTCCTAGGTTGACCCGGCTTAAAGTTTTTTTTTTTTTTGGCAAAGTGTGTTAACGTAAGCATTGCAGAGACGTGCTTGGAGCAACTCTCTCGTGTCCCATTTCAACTTTATTTGGTACTGATTAACAATCCTTGCTATTGCAGTATATAAAGCTTAAATAGGGGATCTATGACCTTTATATTTATGTGGGCACATGGACTTTAGGGGGTGTTTGCATCAGCTGTTTGAATAGCACTATGCGTGTGTGCAGGAGGAGAGCATACACTTCAGAGATGTGTGCGTGCTACCATGTGTTTGTATTTGTACAAGTGGGGAGCAGTGGCGGAGTGGTTTAGCGCGCTGCGCTACGAACCCTACGATCCGAGTTCGATTCCCTCGCACAGCCGACACTGGTGACGATTATCCGAACTGGTCATGAGCCTCCCCGAGCTTCGACTCAGCCTCAAATGAGTACCTGGTGCGATGTGTCAACGTCGCCACTCGAGAGACTAAGGCAAGAGTCGGGCGTGGTGCTGGCCACCCACCCCATTGTGTGCCGTCCTGGCTTTCATAGTTTATCGCTAACAGCACTTGCCTCAACAGTCTGTTAAGGCTATACGGGGATCTTTTGTCTTTTGCACAAGTGCTTGTTAGTGCAGTACCTGAGTACATGTCTTATTTCTGTGTGCATGTGCTTGCCAGCTATGTTTATAAATAGTGCTGAAGTCACCAGGGTAAACACATTATACATGGGTCAAAAATTCTGCGTCCAAATGCAAATGAGGTCATTTTAAAATAATAATAATAAGTAGCACATTTAATACAATAACGTGAGCCTGGACTGTCGGCTAGAAAGTGGGTGAGAAATTGAGTAGTGGCTAAAATAGCAGACGAGTGCCTCCCCTTGCTTGGATTGAACTTGAAGCCACTGACTTTTTGGCATAAATAATTGCCCTTTGCTTATCCAGGAAAACATCACAAATGCCTAATTTCCACGACCATTCATAAAGTGTACCGGAACCAGGCTGGGGCCTGAGCTGTACTCGTGTTTCTGCGTTCCTATAATTATCAAACTGAGCCTGTTATTTAATAAGTTTGCTCCTAGCTGTGTTGAGGAAGCCCCCCGTGTTGAACCAATACCCCCTTAGAGTGCGGCCGACCCTCGAGACTGTTATCCCATCTTGCGGTCACCAGGCCAGTGAGACGCTCGCACCATGACATCACTCGCCTTGCACTGCCCACCCAGCCGTTACAACAATGCGCATTTAAATGCCACATAGTTTAACCGAACAATGTGACCCGGTTAAACGTTGCGCAAAACAATATATTTCTTAACCATCGCTTGCTGACGACCTTCTCCCCGCGTGACATCCACTGATATTCCTGTCCGGTGAAGTTGTATACCCCCCCGCCCCTGCCCCCCTGGCTCAGTCTCTTGAGAGGGAGGAGAGACCGGACGTGTGTAGAGGGAAGTAGATGTGGCGACAGAGCAGGAGAGACTCAGCCCATAGAGCCTCCCATATGCACATTGGGCGTGGGGGGACGTAGGTGCCCCCCCCCCCCCCCCACCGGCGTTGCGGTGGAAGAGCCAAACCCTTTCCCAGGCCATTCATGTGCAAGCGCGAAAAGCATTGAAGCGATGTGAGTCTCATTGTTCCTTTTCAGGAGGGACCTGAAAACGAGCAACTGAGCGTTCTGCATCACATGTACGCTCGTGCTGAGTTCAGGTTCGTGAAGGGGGAAGCCAGAGACCAGTTCAGAATATCACTCTCCACTGATTTTTGCGCCATGGTCGGGAA